TGATTGACTGGACAAATGACTCCATTACCATGGCAAAAAGAAGATGAAAATGGGCATTCTTGGCATGTGCTTATAAAAAGAGGGACTTTTTCTGATAGATATCCATTAACTGTTATGGTAACATATGGGTTGGAATACAAGATGGAAATGCAATTTTGAAATTTAGGGCCTAAACCAAATGTATCTACAGTATCTTTTAAGAACTGCCAATTTAGTCAGGCAAAAGCTTTATCTTCATCCCGTGGTAAAAAATGATGGATCTCATTAGTAGAGTCTGAAGAAGATCAGGCATAAAACTCTGAATGTTGTCAGATAGCTCTCTGTTTAATACAAACCCTGTCTGATCTTTTAATATACCTAGGTAACAATTTTCGGTCTATTTGCTAGGACTGAAGCATAAATTTTTGCATCTTGATTTAATAGGGATATGGGCCTGTAAGACACAAAGTTGGATTCTCCTTAGCACGTTTTGCGATAACTACAATTTGTGCATCTCACCCAGTATACAAGATATTTATTTCCTTTTGATATTTAATTGACGACATCTATTAATAGTCATATTAATTGTGCCCTAAAAAAATTAGAGAATTCTGGAGGAAATCCATCAGGGCCAATGGCTTGATCATTTTTAAGGGACTTAACTTATAGGACTTCCTCTGGTTTAATATCTTTCTCCATGGTGTCTAGGTGTTCTAGTTTTGGTACATTAGCTTTAACCAATTATTTCTTTATTAGCTTATCGTCAGCTGACTCTAAGGAGCAAAGCCTCCTATAGAAGTCTGCAAAAGCTCACCCATTTTGGGCCAGTTGCCAATTCATTTGGAGCCTTGCAGACTGGAGATATGATTTTACTTTTTTTTAAAATGTTGTTAGCATATTAGCTAATTATTTATCACTTTCATTACCCTTTTTCATAGTATAGCTTTGTGTATCTGATTACCTGGTCATTTTTTTCTGTTTCAAGTAAATCTAACTTACTTCTAGCTTCTTCATTTTTAATATATTTTCTGTGATTGATTTGTGTGGTGTAAATTTAAATTGTTCAACCTCCTTGAGCAATGTTTGCACTTCTTTTTTGAGATAGGATTATTTATTAAACTGCCCCTAGTCACTACTTGGAAAGCATCCTATAGAGGACTTCTTAAAATCTGCTCTGCATTGTTTTCTTTAAATTATTGCTTAGTTTCCTGTCTGATATCTTGAATTCTTTTCTGGTCATACAGAAGTGGGATATTTTATCCCCATCTTTTCATTGTAGGTTTGTCTTCCCAGTTTCTAATAAAAAGCCAAACTGGAATGTGATCGAACCAGGAGACGCAGCCTTGCTGTGCTGATGTTCCTGTATTAAGTAAAGATCTAAAGATTAGAGTCATATCAATTCTTGTATATATTCTGTTAGGTACTGAAAAGGAGTAGCTGCTTACCTTTAGAAGACGATGGCTCCAGGAGTCACACAACTCATGCTTATGAGAGACATCTCCAATCTTCTCTGTCAGCTCTCTCTTTCTAGCACTTTAATTCTGTTCTGTCTCAAATCTCTCCTCTTTTCCTGTTTCCAGACCACTCTCTCTAACCTCAGTTTGCTGATATCAGGCTTAAATTCATCCAGTTTGATATTTAGGAGGGATTTTGGAGATCTAAACTCAGAAATTAGCTCACAAAAATCATTTTTAGTGATAGGGATCCCTGTTAGGGTGGCCACTCATGCGTCCCCAGAATACTGAATATTCCAGTACTTCCAGGAACCCCACCCCCACTGGAGTGACCTCGCCTGCAAGGTCACAGGGCAGAGCAGCATGCTCTTCAAAAATGGCAGACACCATCCAATACTGGATAAAACTACAGTGGTTTTACCAGATAGGGACAACCCACCCAAAAAAGAGGACTGTTTGATTTAAAATTGGATGAATGGCCTGCCTATCCCCTCAGAAGAAAGTGAGAAGGAGACAGGATTTGTTCCTGGCAGCTGCAATCTTGGATTTTTCCAGCTCAGCTGTTCTGCAGTCTCACTGCCTTGTAGTTCCTTTTCTGGAATACTGTTCTCTTCATATGAAGTACCCATCTAAGAATTAGGAGAGGCTTCCTGTGAAGTCATGGGGGCTGGGGAGCAGCAATGTCCACTAATTGTGCCAGTTTCAGCATGGAGCTAAATGCGGAAGAAGCCATTCAGCTCCAGTGATGTCATTTCCCTGGTTCTCTTCAATTTAAAACAGAAAAGTAAATAATGTTATATGTAAAAGTCAGAGCTTGCCAAAGATAAGTGAATGTATGCTGCAGGAACAAATGGGGATAGTCAATTATAATTAAGAAATGTCTGCATTCAGAACTGAAATTAAACCTTTGTGATGGAACATGGCAGCTTTTTAACTGTACAATAACTAAAGACAGTAAGTGAAGAATAATATTGTGTCAGTTGTAACTTAAGGGGGAAATCTTAGGCAAGCAGAAAGCTTTTTATCCATGTTGGAATCTGGCCAGGACACTGGAACTGGTAAGCAGAATCTGATAAAATAAGTAAGGAATTCACCCTACAGCTGTAACCTTCAAAAAAGTCTTCTAAAAAACCATATTAAGAAATTTTTGACAAAACATACTTCAGCCAAAGAGGATCTTCTCATGAATAGCTTACCAAACACAAACTGCAGCTATAACTTTATTTTGTTTCTTTTCTGTTCAGTTTCAAAACTCTTCAAAAATGAGGGTTGTTTTAAAACGTCTCTCTCTCCAATGAGCTAAACAGACACACATTCTAAAAAATGAGTTCTCCTGGAGTGAGATCTGAATAAAAGGTTAGTTCCTGTGGATTCCTCTCTTAACTAACAGTGCTCTTTACAGTCACAAACTTTAGGATACTGTTCTATTTTTGTACATTTCAACATGTATTTCTCTACTTCAGTAAATATAAAGTAACATGCCTGCAATGCATATTTCTATATGGGGACAAATTCGCCCCATTCTAACTCTGCAGAAGACAATAGAATTTCACCAGGGATTAATTTGACCCTTTATCTTTATTTTCTTAAGGGAACTGAAGAATATGTTTCCTAGAAGATGTTTTTATGGGGTTTCCTGTCTGATGCTATCACAAACTAAGCTACAGCTGCATGGAACTAAGAATTCACTGATGGTAACATCAACCAAGAAAAACATGTGATAAGCAACTTGTCATAGCAACATTTTTACTACTGGTGTAAAAATATATGACTGCATATAGTTAAGACAGAGAGACGCTTTTATTTGTTATCAGTAGAGCTCCGGGTGTGCCATGGAGGTCGCGGAAGTCACGGATTCCATGACTTCCTGTGACCTCTGTGACTTCTGCAGTGGCCAGTGTAGTTGACCCCAAGGCTGCCCAAGCAGACAGCCTTGGGGCCAACTGCTCAGGCGACCCTGGGGACAGCCACACCAGCCACTGCTGGAGCGGCTCCACAGCCAGCCACACCCACTGCTGCTTCAGCGGCCCCAGGCAGCTGGCCCCAGAGACCGCCTGAGCAGTGGTCCTGGGAGTGGCGGGAGCAACTGCGGCTCCCAGCTGGAGCAGCATCTGGCCCCTGGGCTCTCTCTCCCACCAGCAGCTGGTGCCGCAGGCTCCTCCCGCACTAAGATTCAATCGTGGGTATTTTTAATAAAAGTCATAGACAGGTCACGGGCCGTGATTTTTTGTTTCTTGTCCATGACCTGTCCATGACTTTTACTAAAAATACCAGTGATTAAATCATAGCCTTAGTTATCAACATACTCTGCATAGCATAGAAGGTGAAGACAAATTCCACTGGGAACATTATTTAGGGAGCATTTATACTGGTGTTATAATTGCTCTCAAGTACATGTTTGGACGATGCAGTGGGTCTAGTGGTTAGAACAGGAGACTGAGGTTGGGAGTTCTAGCTTTCATTCCTCATTTTGCCAGTACTTGCTGTATGAACTTGAGCAATTCACTTATCCTCACATTATAGTTGAGAATACTGAGACACAGAGAGGTAAACCACCTGTCTCACATGGGGAAAGGGTGTGTGATAATTACATAATGTTAAACTCAATGCTTGACAGAAAATTTCAAAAAATAAATAAAAGATAAACTTTTTAAAATCTGCATTTCTAATAGTTTGTTTAAATTATAAGTATCTAGATCTCAAATTGCCTCTTACATGGCAGTTATTTCTCCCTAAGAGAGTCCTATGATATGCGGATTTGAGAGAATTAGTAGTTTTAAATTGGAGATTATATTTTATAATTTGTATTACAGTGGCACCTAATAGGCCCTAACTTAGATCAAGGTCCCCTTTGGCTAGGCACTGTGCAAACAAAGTAAAGATAGCCCATGCCCCAGAGAGCTTGCAATATAAATAGACAAGACAAACAAATGGTGGGAGAGAAAACAGGCAGAATGGGGAAGTGATTTGCCCAAGGTCACACAAGAGGTAAGCGTGAAAGCTTGGAATAGAACCTGGGTTTCGTGACACCCCAGTTCTGTACTCTTTCTCCTAGACTAGTGGTTCTCAAACTTTTATTTTTAACCGCAGACCACTTGAAAACTGCTGAGGGTCTTGGCGGACGACTTAATGATCTTTCCAAATGTTGTTTATACCGTTAGCTAACTATTGTAAAGAACTCTGGATAAAAGTGCTATATAAAATAAAATAATTATTATTATTATAAAAATATAATTATTAACTTTTTTGGTTCTACAAATAAAAGCACACAACTCATATTTTAATATCAGTAGTCTTACCTTTCTAATGCAATGGATGTGCCCTCTCTCCCAAGCTGGGCCTGGGAAGAAGGGAGGTCTCTCCCCTGCCAGAGCTGAGGCTGGGAAGGAGGGCCGTCTCTCCCCAGCAGCCACAGCTCTGGAGCTGTGGAAAGTCGTCTCTTTCTCTGGCTACCGCAGCCCTGCATATCCCAAATTCCCCTCACCCCTTCTTCTCACCCCACTGACCCCCTCCCACGTATCCCCTCCTCCCCCGAAGGCCACCACCTCACCATACATGTGCGTCTTCTCCAGGGTCCAGGCATCTAATTAATTGAGCCACGCCTGCACAGCTCCACTAATTAGGTGGGTGGCCCTTCATTCTCTCATGTGCAGCCACCCAGCTGCACACCTTAGAGGGAACTATCTGCAGACCACCTGAATGGAGCTCGCAGACCACAGTTTGAGAACCTCTGTCCTAGACTTTACTGTCTCATGAGTACAATGAGAAATCTGCTATAGAGGATCCTCTTTGAAGAATGTAACTTCTGTTAATAAAATAATAATGGATTGTTAAATTATATTTAGGCTTAGTATCATGTGTACGTGCAGAGCAGCTGCAATTAATCCTTAAAGTTAAGACTGTCATAATCCTTTATAGTCACCAACCAATGATCCTTGTCTTGAGCTAAAGGAAATGGTGTTAATGCAAAGCACGAAGAAATAATTTTACAAGAGAGGACAACAGAACAGACTGTAATATAAGCACTACTGGGTGAAGGGAAAGAAAAATAAAGGGTGCATACTTCATGCTAGTAGCATATGGAGAAAAGGAAATGTTTCATAATAAATCAGGGAACCATAGTGCAAGTGCTAGCAGTTTGCAACATGAAGAGGCAGCAGCATGTAGCACTTGGCGTATGCATTCAGAATCATTGGCCAATATGCTGTAGTTACTTCAGCAAAAGGCACCAGAACAATTGAGTGTGTTAAGTCAACTACAAGTTACTGCTATGGCCACCTAATATAAAACAAAACTTGGACATTCTCGGTGTTGCAGCCCTTCATTCTTTTGCGCTATGACTTCTTGGGTGGTTTTTTTGTTTATTTTGTGTGTTTTTTGTCTGTTATGACTGCAGGGGAGTTTTCACTGCTGAGTGACACAGGATACACCTTCATGGACCAAGAGTGCTGCAGAACAAGTTAGATCAGGAATTAAAACAGTGCACATCACTAACGTCTCGGCAACCAGACAGGAAGGACCCAGCTTTAGATTTTGTGGGACTTACTAAGAAGGCAGATATGTGGGATCTCTGGAAGATGACAATGCATAACATCCGAAGTGATAGGGTGTGGCTGTTAAATGGGTTGTGTTGCTTCTAATTAAGAGGTGTAGGAGGGTTTTAGCAACGGAGGGTATGGTGTATGACTGTACACTTGAGACAGTCCTAGGGCCAACCTGGAAGGGTGGTCTAAATCAGAATTTAATAACTATACTAATACTTCATACATCTAACACCTTCCATCTCAGAATTACAAAATACATCACACATTTTAATCAATATAAAATATTGATTTTACAGATAGTAAATAAGTGATATATATTCTAGGCCTCACAGTAATTTACACAAAAGCCCCTTTATACTGCCTGAATGGTGAAAAGGGGCTTTAGTGTAAATGAGAAACAAACCCTGTATCTGGAGAGAGATTGATAAGCTAGGAAGAGGAAAAACTAGATTGGAATATTGTAACAAGGGGGACTCACCACTGAAGTATCTCCTTGGGACTGGGTATGGCGTAGTGACTCGCTCCACATCTGGGATCCCCTGCTGATGGCCGCTCTGGTGTTCTGCAATCCACCCCTTCCCATAATTTGGTCCTCCATGCATGCCATGATTTAAGTCCACCCGTTCTGGGGTAACAAAGGCCAACAAACCAATGTCCAATACCTTGTATCAAGTCTTTAGACCCAAACCTGCTCTCTGTGGTCCTTATTCCCTTTTGTCAGAGGTCTCTGTCACTCTTCTTTCCTTCTGCAGTCTCACACCACCATATCAGTGGCTTGTAGGGGGAACGTAGGCCTTCTCCTTACACCAGGGTTCCAGTCCATGGACCCTATAATCAGAAGCCAAGTTGTTCAAGAGTTGTTTCATCCAACTTTGCTGTTGCACCCCTGGACTTCTTCCTATGCAGTCTCTCTCAAGCCTTCTTCCCCACAACCTCTCTAGGTTCACCCTTCTCTCAGGCTTCCCCTCAAATCCCCTAACACAGTGATTTTCAACCTGTGGTCCATGGATAATCTCTCTCCTAGTTTCCTACCAGACTTCTCTAGTCAGGAGAGGATCCCTGGGCTTATTCTCCTTCTTGGGCTTCCTTTTTGGTCTCTCTCTCTCATTCCATTCACTATGGACTCTCTCCCAGCAGCCCCCTTTCTTTATCTTTGTTTACTTTTAGCACAACAGTGTCATTGTAGGAGGTTACAACCACCATTTTCTTCATTCATCTTGAGCCCCTTTTTAAAACGAAAATCCTTTTACTCATTCTAGTATCCTTAAGAAAACACAGCAAGGCTTTTTTTAGCACTATTTTCCTGACATTCTCATTCGTCCCCTTAGGGGAAAAATCTTTGATTCTAAGCTAATGCATTTTTTTTTTTATAAAGCAACTTTCTTACCATAGGACAATGCCATAGAACATGATCAACAGTTTCTTCGGGTTTGTGCACATTACTCAGCCCATCCTTTTGTCTTTTTAATAAGTTTAACTTTTCATTTAAGGTACAATGACTGGCTAATACTCTAAAATTGACTACTTCACTTTTTCAATCATAATTATGGAATTCATCATCAGTGATTTTTGAGCTTATATCATAAAACCTTCATCCTTTTGTTTCCTTAGTCTATAGTTCTCACTATTCCTTTGCAAGTTCCTTCATGACCACACTTTGAAATTCTTGTCTGTTAAAGATATACCTCTTTCTGCTTTGACCTTCCTCTGTTTATAGTCCTCTGCCAGCCCCTCCCAAGCTGGGCTTCTCCCTTAGTTAAGCCTGGCTTTCCCTGCAGGTGCAGCCTGGTATGTTAATTGGCCTCTCTGGAACAATAACTCTTTTGACACCCCATCACATATATAAAGATATATACAAATCAACAGTCACCCCAAAGTGCAGAGCATTATTGCTGTCATCCTTTCCTTTTTTTAAATTGCTACAAAATATAAAGTATGCCAGTCACTTTAGAAATGATTTCTCCTTTCTTAAATTATATCATGGTTGTATGGTATTAACATACTTTCAGATGGATGTTGACTACTCTCATTATGATGTCACTGTGTGTAAACATGCTTCACTCCTCTACTTTTATCAGCTTTATTTTGTGAAAAGTGCAGTTACTTAGGCCCTGATTCTGAAAACATTTACAAACATGCTTAAAGTAAAACACATGCATAACTACAGGTTTCAGAGGAACAGCCGTGTTAGTCTGTATTCGCAAAAAGAAAAGGAGGACTTGTGGCACCTTAGAGACTAACCAATTTATTTGAGCATGAGCTTTCGTGAGCTACAGCTCACTTCATCAGATGTATACCGTGGAAACTGCAGCAGACTTTATATACACACAGAGAATATGAAACAATACCTCCTCCCACCCCACTGTCCTGCTGGTAATAGCTTATCTAAAGTGATCAACAGGTGGGCCATTTCCAGCACAAATCCAGGTTTTCTCACCCTCCACCCCCCCACACAAATTCACTCTCCTGCTGGTGCTAGCCCATCCAAAGTGACAACTCTTTACATAATCAAGTCGGGCTATTTCCTGCATAGATCCAGGTTTTCTCACATCCCCCCACCCCCATACACACACAAACTCACTCTCCTGCTGGTAATAGCTCATCTATGGCCAGTTTAGATTTGTGCTGGAAATGGCCCACCTGTTGATCACTTTAGATAAGCTATTACCAGCAGGACAGTGGGGTGGGAGGAGGTATTGTTTCATATTCTCTGTGTGTATATAAAGTCTGCTGCAGTTTACTGCTCCGATATAATTTAGAGTATTATATGCTTCCTATTTTATTTTGATATAAATTGTATTGAAACAAATGTAGTTGAAACTGAACATTTTTATTGCTACATTTCTTACATTGAGTCAGCAGTGTGCCCTTGTTGCCAAGAAGGCCAATGGCATTTTGGGATGTATAAGTAGGGGCACAGCGAGCAGATCGAGGGACGTGATCGTTCCCCTCTATTCGACACTGGTGAGGCCTCATCTGGAGTACTGTGTCCAGTTTTGGGCCCCACACTACAAGAAGGATGTGGATAAATTGGAGAGAGTCCAGCGAAGGGCAACAAAAATGATTAGGGGTCTGGAACACATGACTTATGAGGAGAGGCTGAGGGAACTGGGATTGTTTAGTCTGCAGAAGAGAAGAATGAGGGGGATTTGATAGCTGCTTTCAACTACCTGAGAGGTGGTTCCAAAGAGGATGGTTCTAGACTATTCTCAGTGGTGGAAGAGGACAGGACAAGGAGTAATGGTCTCAAGTTGCAGTGGGGGAGGTTTAGATTGGATATTAGGAAAAACTTTTCACTAGGAGGGTGGTGAAACACTGGAATGCGTTGCCTAGGGAGGTGGTGGAATCTTCTTCCTTAGAAGTTTTTAAGGTCAGGCTTGACAAAGCCTTGGCTGGGATGATTTAATTGGGGATGGGTCCTGCTTTGAGCAGGGGGTTGGACTAGATGACGTCCTGAGGTCCCTTCCAACCCTGATATTCTATGATTCTATGAAGTGAGCTGTAGCTCACGAAAGCTCATGCTCAAATAAATTGGTTAGTCTCTAAGGTGCCACAAGTCCTCCTTTTCTACATGCATAACTGTTAGCAGGACTGGGGTCTTATTTTGTTGTCTTTGATAACATGATTTGGTTTAGAATATTGACTGTGCTAAATATTTGGGATTTTTCAACACTCAGCCAACTGGAACAGAGGACAGTTGATCCTTGCCTTTCATTCTGATGTAATTCTAGAACATCTTTCAGTTCTAAACCTGTTATCAGCACTGCAGGTCATTTGGAGCATTGAGATGCCTGGCTAAAATTTCTTTTGCAGCTGAAATCTCTCTTAAGTTTTAAAAATCTGTATGCTTGTTTTTATTGAGGCCATTTACAACCAAAACGGAAGCATTTTGTGTTATGGTCAAAAAGTTATATAGCTAAAATGCTCTAGTTCAGCTCCTGCAAAAACATTATAAAAAACTTCAACATATTCTCCATATGTCAGACATGTTTGTGCAGGATCAGTTTCAAAAGCAGAGACTGAAGAACACTGCTAGTTGGCCCAAATAAATGAAACACTGGAAGTGTAACTGCATCAGGTTTTCTGTTTTCAAAGAAATAAAGAAAATAAAGGAATGGAAAAGTGAGACATCACGTTGTGGGACCAAATATCAAAATTTACTCTGGGTCCTTGAAGACCCTGTACCTCATGGCAGAATCATAAGAGGTTTTGGGGTAATAAATTATCACAAATTAAAAATTACCTTGCAGTGAGATATGGCAACGGCAATAGCCAAAAGCAAATGCTATTTTGAGTTGTGTATGCAAACACATCATGTCACAGGGGAGGGAATGGATGCTTCATTTGATAATGCTCTGGAACTGGAACTCATTGCACTGAGTTTTGAATACCTCAGTCCCAGAAAGATATGGAAAATTGGAGAAAATATAAAAAAGGCAGTAAAAATGATAGGAGGTTAGAGGATTGATTTGTGATGAAGAGGAGATAAGATATCCTACAAATATCTGAACATTTAAAATCCAGAAGGGAGAGGAATTATTTAGAGCATGGGTTCACAATCTAGGGTGTCCCGAAAAAGGGTAAAGGGATCATAACTACTCTGCCCTTCCTATACTGGTGAATATGAGGTGGGGCTTCAACTACATCTCACCTCAATGGGAAGAGGGTCCTGGGTGGTCCTTGTATAGAAAAGAGGTTTGTTGTATGGAAAAGTTTGAGAACCACTGATTACAGGAGAAATTAAAAAAGAAAATGTAGGTTGCGTAACAGGAAAATCTTACTAACAATAAAATTTATTATGTTGTGCTTAGAATATTTAAAACCAGACTCAACTAAACACTAGAGTGTGCACTATAGGGAACCATCTTGCATTGGCAGGGAGATGGCCTGGATATCCTCATGGGTCTTTTCCATCTCCTACTTCTATAATTCTAAATTAAGACTAATGGGGTGGGGTGTGCTGAAATTCAGGACACATGTCATGATGAGATCTATTACTTAGTGTAATAATATTCCAAGAAATGAGATATGTTGGAAATCTTCTGTTAGTTGTTTAAAACTATATAATGTTGGAAACAATCATGCATTAACTGAAAATCGAAAAGATTACTCTTGAGGGCAGGGACTATCTTTTTGTTATGTGAGTCTACAATACTTAGCCCCAAGGCACTACCACAATACAAATAATAAACTACTTGATAAAAGATCATTTAATAATAAATTGATCAAATAAAATTATCTGTGATGCCTGAATCTGAAATATTTTGATATTTTTTATAAAATTATCTGTGCAAACATTATATTCAGTTGTGTCAAGATGGCACACCAGATTCTGAAATCAGGAACAGTAGTTAACATAGGAAGATCCTACTGTATATAACGTAGAATTCAGAACCCCATTTATTAAAGCCCACTGTTGTCTCTGTTTGTTTGTAAGCCCTACTGTTCAAATTTTACCCGTACGTGTCAATTAAATTTTCCAGTTAATGATACTACTGTAACCAACCCTACTGCAGGATGTGTCGGAGTGTGTTGGCTACACCAACCCCTAAGTATGTGATAGCATGCTGAGTGTACCACAGATTTGGAGGCAAGTGCTGTCTGTGCTCCAAATACTTGGCTCTTCAGGCTCTAGTCCTTGGTGGGTTCTCAGAAACAGTTGCACACTTTGTGTGCCAGGGCAGATTCCTCTGCAAGAGTTGCCAAAATAAAAAGTGCAGTTACCCTAGGTACAATTGCTTAAGTCACAACACAAAGATCAAAAGAACAATTCCCAATCCAGCCCATAAGGGCAGTCCAGTACCGGGATATGAAAGTAAGGGCATCTCTAGACAACAGTGGCACAGTTATTGTACCACTGTAGTGTAGATGCTTCCTATGTCAATGAAAGGGGTTTTTCCTCAGTGTAGTTAATCCAACTCTCCAAGAGGTGGTAGTTGGTTGGCAGCCACATCTACACCAGGGTTTAGGTGACCTAACTACAGTGTCCATGGCACAACATTTTTCACAGCCCTGAGTGACATAGCTAGGTTGACCTAATTTTTAAGTGTCTAGCAGACCTGTGAGTCCCAGTGTAACCCTTTCCCAGTATCCTTCTGCCTGCAGACCACAGCCGTGTATACTCCTACTGCAGATACTAATAGCCCTGTGCCTACAACCATCTGACTTGACCCAACGCTAAGGCTACCTGCTCTCCAGTCTTCTCTCTTTGACCAGCTCTCAGGCTGCTGTCTCCAGCCTTCTTCTGTTTACATGAAGCATTGTACTTCCACATGAGCCAGGTCACCACTTCTGACCTCAGGTAGCCCTTCTCTTTCCTGTACTCAGGAGGTTCTGGAGTCCTGTGCTGGCTAGATATTGAACTGGGGATGAATACAGTCCCCCGTAATGAGTGAACAGGTTCATTACACATTCATAGTTAATTAAGCTGTACACAACAACAACTTTTTCAGGCCCCCTAACAGCACAGACTACCACAGGGATAACACTTTAGAATCATTCAGCTCAGGGAAGCTGAATGTCCCGTGAGGACTGCCCCTTTAAGAGGGAGCAGGGTCCAGTGCCCCTCAACAGATTATCTGTTGCTCAGTTGGGCTTAAGAAAAGGCACTTAGGCCTTATAAAGAATAAAATCACTGTATGTGGGTGTCAGCATATGCATGGGAAATAAGAAAGCACCTACAAGGCCCTGAGTCAGCAGGGGGAAACCACTACTGGGGGAAAGTCCTGTGAAGAAGGCCAAATCCTCTCTTCCCTCGCTGTATCTTTCCCTACTAATTCAGGTCCCTGCAGGGGCATTCTTCCTCCCTGAAGGCAACTGCCAACACTCACCTGTAGCTATCTACCCCTTATAAGGTCCAGGTGCCTTCCCCTAAGTTAGGCAGCAGGTGATCAGTCCAGGTCCATGGGACTCTTCTCTCTCAAAGAGGGCAATCATGCCTAACACGGACCAAAAAAAAAAAAATTGTACTGTTAGTAGGATTGGCAAAATTCATTTTTTTAAATAACAGTTTATTTGTAAGCATTTTTTATTTTTATTTAAATGTTCACAGTTGCACAAAATTGTGGGTTTTTTTTTTAGAATTGTATCAATTTAAATTTTCATAGTTATGGGAAATAATAGGGGGATCATATAATTATTTAATGACAGTAAACAGTGAGGTTAAAGCTTTATAACCATTAAAAAGCAAATTGTCAACATCTCATGTCAAAATATATAAATTATCCTCAAGAGAAACTCTAAATTCTCAAGCAACATTTTCCTTACTTTACCTATTTGTAGATTCTGAATGTTACTGATGGAAATATTTATCTGTTAGTGTGTGTGAAAATGCTATTTACTAATTAAAGAATCTAATTCTGCCAAGCCTAATTATTAGCACCTGTTGAACCGTATCCATCTGTTGCCTCTTGTCTTATACTTAGATTGTAAGCTATTTGGGGCAAAGAGTGGCTTTTTGTTTTGTTTATACAGTGCCTAGTGCAATGGGGTCCTGGTCCATGAGTGGTATAATAATAGCTCTGAAGCACCTATGTAAGAAAGCAATTTGTAGAAGGGGAGGAATAAAGATGTGTTTTAAACCCACTTTTAAAATACACTGTGATTCAATTAACTTTCTGAAAGGACAGAGTGAAATGAAATAGTACAAGGCCCTGATCCTGCAAATGGGTCTGAATACCCTATTGAAGTCAACAGGACTCCATGTGAGCACTGCGGTCTGATCACACAGAGTCAGTTGCAGAACTGAAGTCCAGATTTTTTTAGTATTTATAGCACACAACTGGGCAGTAAGGACTGTTGGTTTGTATTGTCAGTATGTCCTTGAACAAGTCACAACCTCTATGTCTCAGTTTATGCATCTGTAAAACAGAGGTGTGGTTAATAATATTTAGCTCTCACAAAGCAGTTTAAATCTTCTAAACTTTGGACATTTACTACCTAATTAATGCAGTGAGGCGTCATTAATTTTTGGAAAGTACTTTAAAATCCTCAAATAGCCAGGCTTGCCGTGCGAGGTATTATGTGACAAAGGAATCCTTCGGGGGGACCCTGAAATATCTTACCTTTGTTCTAAATTATTTTAACAGCAGTATAACAAGGTGTGTCAGCATAGCCCTTCTCCTAAGGAAACCAAGGACTGGCCTCTCCCAGCCTAGGATACTTGGCATCCATAGGCCTAACACCACCAACAGCTGAAGCCGCCACTTACGGAAGGTTCCCTTAGAGTACAAGGGGTGGGGAGCTATTAATCTTTCTCCACCCTCTGCCCAAAAGCGTGGGTGACGTTTGGGCAAGGAGGAAGAAAGAAAGCGTTTGGGGGAAGGGCACCCGTTAATCTTCCTCCCGCTTCGGAAATACGTGTGTGTATGTGGGGAGAGAGGGGGTGGTGTTGCTAGAGGAGGAGGGGAGTAGCCAGGCGGTTTCACCTGCGTGTCTCCTTCCCAGAAAGGGCAGGGGCCTGGTTGTCGTCGTGGGAACAGCCAGAGTGGAAGCGAAAGGCTACAGCAAAGGGGTTTCAGCCTTCAAGGGCTTTGTTTGGCAGTTTGCTCCAGAAGGGGTGGCTGAGTGAGGGGCGAAGCCAAGCAGCCAGGGCGTTGTTAGCAGCATTCGTCCCTAGCCGGGGAGCGGTGTAGCCCCCGCCAGGGACTCCGCTTCTCTCCTCTCCCCTGGCGCTGCGCGGACGCCCGCGGCAGGAAGGGGAGGCGGAAGAAAGGGGAAGAAGCTCCGGGCAGGCCGCGGGAGGGAGGAGCAGTCTCGGGGGGAGGCGGCAGACGCACAAGATGGCCCCTGCTGCAGAGGCAGCAGTAGCAGCCGGCCGTGGGGCGGAGGTGGCGGCGGCCAGGCGGCCTCTGCTGCTGTTGCCGGTGCTGGAGGCGGTGGGCGCTGTGGCCAGCCCCGTCTCCCAGAGCTGAGAGGAGCCGCTGCTGGGAGTCCAGCCGTGCGGTGAGTGCGGGTCCTGGGCTTCGGTGCGGGGAACAATGGGGCGGAGGTGGCTTCTCTCGGGCCTGGCCCAGTGGAGGTCGGGGGCTGGCCCTGCCTTAGTTAAGGCTTTCAGTGACAGGGGGTCATTGCAGGGGGCTCTAGCTTGTGTTCCTGCCTCCATCTCTAGGCCTCAGGCTTCGGCCGGTCTCCATTTCCGAGTTGCTGTGTCTTGGAGGAGACCAAGGAGGCTAGTTCTATGAAACTGGGGGCCGGAAGAAAGAGGTTTCCTTTGCCCTTGGAGGAGGAGTGGAGGTGGTAGTTCCAGGGGCTCTTGGTTTAGGGGAGTTGGGGCTGGCCTCGTGTCACTCTGGGGTGGGGACAGAGGACACTTTTTTAGTTGCGGGGAGAGTCTGAAGTATGAGAGAGAATACATTCTGCAGCCCCAGTTATAAAGGTATGTAGCTTTTTACAACACAGATGGGAAGTTGGTTTCTGCCCTCAAAGGGTTTAGCTCCCACTGTGGATTTGCAAAGCTGACGTGACACACACATTGGATGCTTTGTTTAAAATATATCCACAAATATCTGTTTCAGAGGAACAGCCATGTTAGTCTGTATTCGCAAAAAGAAAAGGAGTACTTGTGGCACCTTAGAGACTAACCAATTTATTTGAGCATGAGCTTTTGTGAGCCACATCTGATGAAGTGAGCTGTGGCTCACGAAAGCTCATGCTCAAATAAATTGGTTAGTCTCTAAGGTGCCACAAGTACTCCTTTTCTTTTTTACAAATATCTGTGTGTCTCTCGTCTCTCTCTTCCCCCCCCCTCCCCCCTTAGTCAGCCTGCTGCTGTTTTGGGTGCCTATCAAAGTTGTAGGGAACATTCAGAGTAAGTTGGCCAGTGATTTCTGTGAGTGTCTGGAAACTGAGAACCTGGCATTTGTTTGGGAAATGTAAATCTAAAAAGACCCAACTAACTTGACATTGTTTTTCTTTCTGGTATTATGTTAGACACAGAGTTAAAAGATGGGGCACGGATTTCCTGCCAGGAAACAGAGCACCGAGTAGCTACCCTTATATCTTTGGGGGGGAGGGGGAAAAGAAGAAGGCCCAGAAATGATGTTTTGTCTTCAGAGGCCATATTGAGTGAGATCTGTGCCATTTTAAGAGTCCACGAGTAGGGAAACTGATATTTCTTCTAGAAACTGGTCTTTCATTAAATTCTTTCCACACACGCTGCTTTCTCCTGAACAGTTGTTTTAAAACTTGTTTTGTTTCAGTCAGTTACAGAAAAAAATGCATTGGTGACATTTTATCAGTTAGTAAGGAGCATCCATTATTTTAATGTAATTTTGATGGCCAAATGGTTAAATTGCAAAAATGAGTTCATGTTAAAACAGCCAGTTCACTTCTATCAGTAGCAATGCTGCTTTTTCACCACTGACTCTTTTAGTGACATATTATCCTTTGATCACTCTGTTGTAAGATGACAACTGGACTATTTCTACATTTATACTATACTACAGTGATGCCTAGTTTCAGTGACATATGGAAGTGTGCTACCTTTTCCACTAAAGTTTTTTTTCCATCTTCAGGGATATATAAATCTTGTTTTAAGCCCTCCTGCCAATTCTTGAGCATATGGGTAACTACTTTTGTGTGGTCTCATTGACTTCATTGAATAAAGTTATGCACATGCTTGAGTGCTGGCAGGACTGGGGTCCACATCTTTATCAGTTAAATTAGCATAGAAATTATCCATCCATAAATGCAGTGTTTCATTTCTACCATTGATGTGAAGATATAGTTTCCATTAAAGTTAATAAGATCTAGGTGCATCAAAGGGAGATGATCTCCCCCTCCCTGCCTTTCCTGAAATTTTCAGCCTATTATTCCTGCCCTAGAAAAGGCTCCTCCAGAGCAGATGATTAGCAGGTTATTTTGAGGGACCTTTGCACTGATAGTACATGCGTTCTGTTCATTTGTTTGGACTCCAATTTCCATGCTGTCAGTAAAACATCTTTGATCAGTATTAAAATTCATGGGGATGAGGAGGAAATTGCTTGTTCTTTGTACCAAAACCAACATCATTTAAACCAAAATGTACTAGATTGTTGGTTTGAAGTTGGTCTGCGCTGGTAGTGACTACAAGGTCTGACCTAATGTCTGTCTGTGGTTCATGAAACTAAGGGCAGATCTACATGTAAAATGTTGCATTGATGCAGCTGCGCTGGTGTAGTGTAGTTAATCCACCTCCCAGAGAGAGGATAGCTATGTAGATGAGAGAAGCTCTCTAGTCAACATGTCTACGGGGGGCGGCTAGGTCTGTATAACTCGGTTGCTCAGAGCTGTGCATTTTTCACACTCCTGAGCTATGTAGCTATACTCAGATAGGTCTGTAGTGTACACCTGGCCTGAATGATGGCTTCAGCCCACTTCTCAAAGTGTAAGTGTCTGCATGACACAGACCAGCACCAGTTTTGCTAAGGGCGTGGCTACACTGGAAACTTCAAAGCGCTGTCGCGGGAGTGCTCCCATGGTAGTGTTTTGAAGTGCGAGTGAGGTCACATGTGAGCACTGGGAGAGAGCTCTCCCAGCGCTCGGAGCCTGTTTACGCTAGCGCTTTAAAGGGTTCTGACTTGCTGCACTCCGGAGGTGATTTTTCACACCCCTGAACCAGCAGGTTAGAGCCCTGTAAAATGTAAGTGTAGCTAAGTCCTAACTGAAAGGTTTAACAGAGTTAAGTGCTGAAGACCTAAATTATTTAAAGATGGCCCTCCAAAGCAGGTTTGAACTAACGTTGATGGGACAGTTTGCAGAAACTTGAACTCCTGTTGCCTATGACCTACCAGCTATCTGGATGGAGATCTTCTATCGCAAATGCTGTCAATCTGGTACTCTTCAGTAGTGGTGAATTCAGAAAATATATACACCCAAGATTTTGAATGAATTGGTTTATTTTCTTGTATGTCTGAATATTTGGAAAGAATCTGAAAAGGGTGGCAAGGATTGAAAATTTCACCGGTCTGAGACTTGCTATATACACAGGCTTGGCAGGATTTGATTTGATTTTTTTTTTAAATTTAATGTTTAATATTTTTAATCATTTAATTTTCATGGTTGCAGGACATTAAAGGGGGTTAGTGTTAGAGTAGTGCTGACAGCAGGGCTTCAGGGGGCTCCCTGCATGGCCAATGGGCCTGACACCTGGCTACAGCATTCAGGGGAGGCTGTGCTCCAGACTCCATGAGGAGGAGGGTGAGCTCCCAGCCCTAGAGGAGGCCACCCTCTGAAGAATGACTTTTGCGTGGGGATGGCCCCTGTAAATCTGGCTGTGAATGAGCGAGCGGGGAGGTGACAGTGGGGCTGCAGAGTGCTCCCTGCATGGTCACCAGGCTGGTGACACCAGATCCATGCAGGTGTTAGCTGTGGGGGAAGCTGCACTTATCGACTGTTACAGATATTTTTTGTTGATTTCTCTGTCAGGTAAAACTGATGTTTCACAATGACTAATGATTTAAATCAAATCCTGCCAATCCGACGTATATGATACTGGACAAGTGCTCCAGAGAAGTACTGCTAGATTAACAGATTGATAGTGTTAAAGTTTATTATCTCATGACTCATCATTGCGAAAAAGGTGTGCTGTGTGCCATTCAAAAACAGGAATTAGTTTTTTGTTCGTTAGCTATGCATGTTGTGATTACCATATTTCTTTTTCCATGTGAATTCCAACATGATTTTACTGTCTAATATCTAGAAAACAAATGACTGCAAAATAATGCTTTAAATGCCTTAACTGTAAAATAGGGATAATGATGCTTCCTACTTTTGTAAAGCTGTTTAAAGCACTTTCCATCAGTAGATAGTATAAGACCTGGGTATTTTTATTTATTTTATTTATTTATTTATTTACATTCTCCCTGAAAAGCTTAGAAATCCCAGCTTTCAAATGGTATGAAGAATAACACTGAAATTTTAAAAAATGAGTGTCTAAAGTTAGGATCCCAAATATGTGGCCTGACTTTCCAAAACTGATGATCACCCGAGAAGCTCCCATACGTGGTACAACCAAACTTCCTTCTAAATCTTGACCTGTCTCTCACCATCACTGAAATCAATTGCAACATGATTTTAAGTAGGTGCAAAGTAGAAGAGGAACAAATAAGAACATAATCAGTGTGGTTTTTCCCCTAGTCCCCCAAGGCCTGGTATACTGCAGCCTGCTTGAGTTTTTGATGGACTAATGTTTAGAACCAGAAAATTTTCCCCAGTATTGCCATTGAACCATTGATTACACAAACATGTTCAAATCCTGAGTGGAGATGCATACATCTGGGGGGAAAAAACATTTAATTTTTCATTTTACAAAAAATCTTTTGTGACAGTTAGGTATGTGTAAAATAACTACACCATATACCGAAACTCAGCAAGTGAACCAATGTCAACGAGCAGTAACCTTTCTATAAAAATTCTTTTGGTCTTCCACCCTTTCAAACCACTTTCAAGAAAAGCCTGAGAAAATAGATAGGCCTTGCAACCTTCCCCTCTCAATGGAGATAGATGAGGAGGGAAGCAAATTCCATTTGTGGATGGAACTCCACAGAAAACTGTCTCTATATGTACAAAGCAAGTGGTTGGTGGTCTTTTAACAGCTGAGATCAACTGGATACTTGAGCCATTTCTCTTTTTGTGCTTTAACCTAAGATACACAGGA